TTTTTTTTTTTTTTTTTTCCTGGAACGTGCTTAAGTTATTGTGTATAAATTGCAGCAGTTTCTCTGTGAGAGACCTGAGGCCCAGCCAACAATGGAGAGGGAGGTTCAGTTGCTTCAAAACTGGCCATGGACACCCCCAGTCTCCAAAAGTTCACTGAGGCAGGGACATTAAAAACACAGCTCCTAGGGCATCTCAGAAAGCCTTGATCCAGACTGCATGCTCTGGAAACATCTTCAGGAACAGGCAAGACATGCAAGAGCTTTCTCCTCTGTCCGTCCTGAGATGATTTGGGAATGGCCTCCACCAGGCAGATGAGAGACATGGGCCTCTGTGTCTCAGAAGAAGGGCAGTTAACAGCGGGGCTTTGAGATCGGTATCCAGAGATTACGCTTGCAGGGTCAGCTGTCACCACTTCTGCACCAAAGTCCTTCTAATGCTAATGGTTGGCTTAGATCCTACCTAATTTCATCAGCTCTATATCCCATCTTCAGTGCTAGGGAGCTCAGCATCACTAATCTCATCTCCTTCAGCTTCTGCTTCACATTGCCTGCTTCTTACCCTTTTGAGGGTTTCAGCCTCATGAAGACTTAAAAATAGAGCATTTGTTTGAGGGCCTGCTCTTCAATTTCTAACAGCAGATCCTCTTAGGGCTTTTCAGACTTGTGTCCCTGAGGAATGGAAACCGATTTTAATAAAAAAAATTAGAGATGATATTATCATAATTGGATGAATCTCAGAGCTTTCACAAATGCCAGAAACCTCATGGGGATCACACGAACATCTCAGAGCCGGCAAACACAGATGAAGGGGTACTGAAGATTTTAATAGGGGCACCATCCCCATAAAGTTGGCCTTCACAGCTTAATCACATGAAGATGAGATGTAGAAGTTTTCCCTCTTTATCTAACACCCCACTGATCTGAGCTGCCTTTGTTTTCAGTGTTGGCCCCTGTGTTTGTGAAATGTATTAAGCTCCTTGTTGCTTTTGGAAGTAACAGTCACTGCTGTATTATGGCCAAATCATTGTTTTTCTCCCTATTGACCCTCTTCCTTTTTTTTTTTTTTTTTCAGGCTACCAAACACCCTTGACTTTGCTTGTGGGATGGTTAATCAACAAGTCTGTCACAATGATGGATTCCTCCTGAATTGTTGCTTAATTAGCTTGGTTGGAGGTATAAATCAAGTGGAATACCAATTCTTCCAATGCCACAGACAGGCAGCCACGCTTGGCTTGACAGCAGTGAGTTATTACTCTCTGCCCCACTGCAGGATCAGCACGCAGGCGCCAGACCGCAAACAAAAAGGGGCTGTATGTTTGTCCCTGAGACCACTGGTGTGCACAGATCACAGAGGCCACACACACCAGAGAGCAGGTTGGTGGGATTGAGGTGGAGGTGGGCTCTGGCTGGCAGTGTCTGCAGGGCACCAGCTGCAGAGGCTCCGTGCATGGGCACACACGTGCACCTTTGCATGGGAAGGGCATCATACCCAAGATCTACCCACGGGGAGACAACTCCTGTATTGGTAATGGTTCTCACCTGGGACGTCTGGTGTCTGTGCTAGCTTTTTAATGAAGAAGAGACATTTCAGTCTCTGGCCAGACTAAGTTATAAGACAAGGATCTCTGCCTCACGACAAGCAGAATTGCCTTCCGCAGAAAAGCAATTACACATTGTAACAAAAGAAGTAATACATTGTCTGCAAATTAAGATTTTTAAGATTGATCTTAATAGCTTGGTAATTTTATAGATAGGACTTTCACGCAACAAGAATGTATTTGAACCACTTGACTTGAACTGAATTTTTCAATTTTAGCAGAGGTGACTTCTGTGTCAGCGTGTTCCCAGTAGGTCTGAGCTGTCTTGAGCATCCCTGACCTGTGTGGTGGACACCATTCAGAAGTACTTCAAGATTTCTACTTACCTTTTTTGGATTACCCAGCTAAACTAAACATGCATACTTTTCTGAAATGGATCTAATAATAAGCCTTTTTTAGCAAAGTATGTTTTTTTTTTCCCATGGCCACCTTTTTTATTTATCTTCTCTCTTTGCCAACATTTTCAGAGAGCTTAGGATGTGCAATCACATTTTTGAAAAGGAATCAGTTTGTTTAAAAGTTACTGAAAAATATTAGAATAAGTCTCATTTTACTGATCTGACTTCCACCTCATTTTCAGTGTAAAAGTGGGTTCAGTGGCCCCTCTTGCACAGGACTTAAATGCATGAATATAGGTCTCCAAGCTGCTGAATGAGACAGTGATGCAGACTCACCTAACGATAACAAAGTCTCTTCTTTACCTTGTGATGTAGTTATTGCTCCAGGGTGTAACATCTCACTGCCAAACGGGTTAATATGTTGTTAGTGTGCAGATGCCTCAATGGAAACTTGTACCGAGGGTCTGGGTGAGGCACAGTGTGAATTATATTGCCATGGCAACCCTGAATTTCTTTCATCCATTGACATTTGCATCCTTCTTTTTTGGCATTTTCACAGAGTCTTCAAAGATTTTTTTTTTCAGTAGTTGAGTAGAACAGATCACTAAATTTGCTGTTATCACCATGATAAAAAGGTATGAAAATGAAGTTCACTGTGGGTACAGAAAGGTTACAGTTATTTTGCAGATTTAAGTTAAATTTTTGAGCATGAATTATGACTGAAGAAGCTCTATAATTTTTAAGACATCAGGACAGAGGAAGAAAATGCTGTTCAGATAAACTTGTCTCTTCTCAGACAGTCCTGATATAGATGTTGGAAGTCAGAAAAAAACACTGAACAATCTGTTCAACATCTCTAATATGCTTCCTCATTGCTGTAGCAAATAAAATGGAATCCCTGTAGATGAACTCAAATATGCTCAAGACTTTTTTTTTTTAATTTATTAATAAAAAGTATAAATAAAATCAAAAGGCTTCTAGTGTTATTTATGAATTATGACTAATTTCTTCAATCTTTTTCTGGCATTTAGAAATGGCTCACTAGAAAATTAAGAAATAATTCAAATAAAACTTTATCTGAATTGTTTTTGTAACCTACACAATACGCAGCCCTTCCACGCAGAGGGCGTGGTTGTATTCTTATTTGCAGTTGAGTTAGTGGAGCTGTTCCTGACTTCTGTGCAGGTTCTCCTGATCAGGAGAACCAGCTGTACTATTTACAGGAAGATGAGAGGAGATTGCTTGCCCAGACGACCAAGCACTACCAGCATGCCCAGAGATCACTCTGATTAGCTCCTCTTCTCTCTGCAATGCAACTCCAGTTTGCCTGAAAAAGACTCTTTATCCCAGCATCTGAGTACTATCCAGTGTAACCAAATATGTCCACGGCTTCACTCCTTCACAGCGGTTTTTCAAGAACCCCATGGATGGCTTTTGTATGGGATGGCCTTGGGCACTGTTCAGTGAGGGAGCAGAGAAGCCACCTAAAACAGAGGTAAAAACACTCACTCAAAACACAGACAGCCTCAGGTCTGTCTTCAGGAATCACTAATGAGAATATTTTTCCAAGGGAATTTTTTCAGCGGACGTCAAGTGTGTTTTTCCACATCGCTCATAGTTCATTAGGCTCTAGTTTAAACAGTCTCAGTCCTCCAAGGGGGCCTATGCTGTGACTGCCCAGTCTCTGGCTGAAAGTATCTGCTAAATTGCTCAAGTGAACTGCTTACAAACACCCTACAGGCAGGATTTCATTCCAAACCTGTAAGTGAAAATTATGATTAATTATATATTCCCAGAAGTTACGATCAGTTTATGAATGATTCATGAAAGGAAAAAAAAAAAAAAAGACTAAATAGACTCTGAATATAATTTGCAAGCAATAATTTAAGCAACTTCATCTCCAAAAGTGAGGTCCTTCTAGCTTCATATTTACCTAATGATAGTCTGCAGTGCAAATGCTGTGTTGTGATATTCTGTTTCCACACATCAACACATCAAAATGCAGGTTTGCACTGTCCAAAGCTCTCCAAGTGCAGAGAGCAAACTTTCAAACAAACAACTGTGTGCAAACAGAGATCAGAGGGGTGAAAGCATCACAGTGTTGAGTGATGAAGCCCAGCTCCTGCTGCAGATGGACCCAGTAGATATAACTAGGAGCCAAGATAGAGGAGCAGCTGGGCATGAAT